CCAGCCCCCCACCCCACCCCACCCCACCCCAGCCCTAAGATTCACCTTTTTAACATATAGGCTGGATTTGTGTTGTGTTTTTTTTTGTGCTTTTGTTTGTGGGGACTGCTACCTGCTACAGCTGCTACAGGGTCGGGGGAGTATTCAAGTATATTGTAGGATTGTAGGATTGTAGATTGTAGATTGTATTGTAGAGTAAAGTAGAGAGCCTCGCCTGCTAACCGGATTCTAGATTCTATATGCAGTGTAGTATTGTAGTAGAACGTGAATAGTACCTAGTGACCTAGTGACCTAGTGACTCTGGTGATTCTAGTGAGTTTTTGTTGTAGCAGCTGGAACGTAGCACTGAGTATCGCCGATCAACATCACATCACATAATCATGACATGATCTTCCAAAACCACTCTCAGATCCACGGTGTCAAAGTGCTCGTATCCCGGGATTGGCCGTTTGCTTCTGCAGGTTACCAAGTAGGTTTGCGTGTCCTAAGTGCATGTACTTCTCGTCACCCTTCGGTAAATCTTGAGCATTACTTTGTCATCGTTTAACCGTTGAGCCGTCCCCAGCGACCCCAACGACCTGGCCCTAGTCCTAGCCGCCCTTGCCTTAACTCCTTAACCTTTGCTAGGTTCATCGATGGCTTCAGCGACCTCAAGTTCACCAAGGGTGGATACTGGATCGTTGTCATCAAGTGCGAGCTCTCGATCTGGGTGAAGCTCGCCCGAAGCAGGCCGGGTGTCCGAGGTATTTTGCAGTTTGACTGGCAGTTCTGCGGCTAGCGGCTAGCGGCTAGAGCTACAGCGAGAGCTAGAGCTAGCACCAGTAGAAGGGCTAGGGGCAGCTCCAGACTGTGGGTCCTGTAGGTTTAGAGCGAGCCAAGTGATAGTGCCATATTCCCATAGATTCGATTCAGATGTCGGTGTAGCATATTGCCGCAGCCAGTGTAGCCAGCCTGATCGTGCACGAGTCTCTGTAAGGTTTCTCGGGTCGCACATTTCATGAGAACATGGTTTCACTTGTCACTTATTAGCAGAGTGTTGGTTAGAATCGGTTAGAATTGCCAGCCGTAGCCTAGATTCGGCCTAGATTCCTAGATTCCGTGATTGACAGCGTTGTCACCTACGCATTTGCCAGTGTGATGTCCAAATTGTTGTCCAGAGTCGTATTCCATTCATCGGACAGCTCACTGGCACCATCAAGCTGCTGCCCTTGGAGTTCTCAAGAAGTTTCTGAAGCCTCGGGGTTGAGGGCCTAGGGAATGTTTGTCAAACACGAGCAGAGAATGAGTGGGACGTGGTTTGCGGGCATGTCGAGAATGTAGAGGTAGAGCAATGTAGAGTAGAGTAGAGTAGAGTAGAGTAGAGTAGAGTAGAGTAGAGTCAGTAGAGTCGTAGAGTCGGGGAGGTCAAAGCGCGAGGACCAAGTTCCACCAACAGCTTCATGTCGTAAGAACTGTAGCGAAACTTTCGTGATGCTGGATGCTATTTTGTCGAGCGAACAACATGATGCTGGCTCTTGCGGTGTCTCATGGGTTGGGATGCCGTTGCCAATGCAATCGACTCAGACAATGAAGTGCACGCTGCAGCTGCAAATGTTGCGGCACAGCCGTCGGAGGGGCGGCCAGCTTCTTCAAGCAAGGTGAGTGGTGTATCAGCCGGCCGTCCCAGAGGCAGTGCTCTGATCAGAGGAGACATCGCCGCTCAAGAACAGCAGTTGGAAAGTCTTAGGCTTAGGGCGGCAAGACAGCCTGAGCCCGATGCAGATGCTGTTTTGGCAGTTCAGCTGGAAGACCGATCTTCTGCTTTGCAGGCTTTGACCTGTGATGCCACTTCGATTCAAAGAAGATTATGCCTGTATGTGGACCAGCAGCTGGCCAAACAGTCTTTGCCAGACATGCCGAACCCCGTGGTGCAGGTCATGAACACATCGTCGAACGTGAGTTCATGGGCAATCAAAGCTTTGGAAGCAAACAAGCAGTGCCAGTACGTACAGCAGGATTACTTTCGAACAGCAGAAGCTATGTTGCAAGCCTCTGGATTTTTGTGGTTGGTGAAACTGAAGCGACTGCAGGAGATGAAAAGTCAGGGCTTTGAGGTTTTGGCAGTGCTCCGCAAAAGACGTTACGACGAGAGTCCTTTCAACTTGCGCTTGAAAGAGGAACAGGTGCCAGCCCAGTCTGAGACTTCGCCGCCTTTGCTGCAGCAGCCTGCCAGAACAACTCCTGGGAAAGCAAAGGTCATGCAGTCCGAGTTGGGCGTTGTTGTCTTGCTTCGACGCCGTGGTGAAGGCGAGAAGTACGAGTACCAGGAGGTTCATGGCTCCTGTCCTACGTGGCTCCATGTGCTGGACAAAACAACGAAGGAGAATATCGCTGAGAGCCAGCGGCAGATTCAGAGCTTGATTCAGATACCTGGAAGTCTAAAAGAGAGCGCTCGGCTCCTTTGCGACATGACCACTTCGGATCGGTACGCTGCGAACATTGCAGCAGAGAAGTGCCTTCAGAGCGAGGCACCCGAGTGGGCCAAGTGTCAGCACTTTTGCCTTCTTCATAAGGCTGCAGCAGTGCAATCTGCACAATTCCGATTGGTGTCCGGACATGTGAGTGGTCTTTTATCGCTCAGCCTCTCGATGGCTCCGGCTGGGACTACGGCGGAGTTGAAGAAGATCCTGTGCCGTATCCTAGCCGACAAGCTGACTGTAGAACATGGAGATCCGCCAGCTCATGTTCGGCCTCACCGAGAGGCGCTTCATGAGTTGTTTCTGCCTGTGGGTTCTGAGACTCAGAAATCATTGCTGCATCAGAAGCAGAGAGCCATCTTGAGTTGTCTTATGAATGGTGATTTACAAGACGAGGAGAAGATCACCTATTGGTCGGCCAATCCTGCGGCGACCAAAGACTCGATCAAGGAGTCCTGGGTCCGACATGTCGCTGCAGCCCTACTTCCACACAAGATCCCGTTCTTTAACTGGAGCAAGTGGTTGGGAGGCGAGGATGCGATTTCGTGGGTGGGATTGTTGAGTACGCACAACGGGCTCCTGGTGCCACTGGTGCAGACATGGGCGCAGTCTACAGGCATTCCTGTGGTCGTTGGGCTGGCTCCCAGGTCTCGTGCAGCTGCAGAAACCACCGAAAGTTCCTTTCTTTTTCATCAATACCCGAGGGCAAATAAAACCAAATAAGAGCAGTTTTTTTGCAATGAAGTTTTTGGATAGGTTCATTGTCATAGACATAGATTCTGGTAGACTCTGATAGATCTGATAGACTCACCGCACACATAATGTATGAAGCAAAAAATTGAAAGTTTACGAGGTTATAGTTCTCCTCATTGGCTACTGAGCTACTGTCAGCTACCCGCAGCTACCCGGCTACCCAAGGTTCCCCAAGGGTGGGCTGCGGTGGCAGATGCCATAGGCCCTCGCCCGACCACAAACACATCTGCTGACTCTGCCTTCGATGCTGTGGACCTAGATGTGCCTGAAGACTTGGGCGCTGCAGCAGATGACATGCTCCCCGAGACAAACCCAGATATCTCATGGGCCGAGTTCAACAAAATGAACCGACGCAAGGCCCTAGCTTGGGTAGAGTCGAAGCCTGCTGGAGTGCTTGTGTGCATGAGAGTGTGCATGAAAGCTTCCCTGCATTTGCTGTATACACTGGTGCATCTGGCATCGGTGGCGTTTGTGCAAGAGCAGATGAAGAAATCGAGCAAGGGCCAGCCAAGGCTGCACCGAGTCGTGGAGTTTTTCTCAGGCAAGCTTCAGACGGTTTTCACGAAACACATTCTTGAGACCTTGTCTGAATGTTTGCCGGGGCTACCAGATGATGCTCACACGGATGCTATGCGATCGTTGGCCTTCCGAATGTTGTCTGTCAGTTTGTGTTCTGCACAGCAGCTGATCTGGAGCATTGGTGCTGGATCTCCGTTCGTCCTTTTTCGCACATTAGCTGCCGGTGTGGACGAGCTCTTCCAACTGCCCAAATGTTTGTACGATGAGATCACACAGTACTTCATGGCTTCCTTTCCGCAGCCTGCAGATTTCCAAGGAGAACTTTGCCAGCAAATGCTGCAGGTGCTGGCCCAGCATTTTCAGCTTGACATACTTGATTTGGAAAGAAACCACAGTACAATCCGCAGGAATATTCTGAGCAAGTCCATGCATACTTGGGTCACGAATTATGCATGTGCCAATGCACATTGGGTTGTTCGTAGGGTTGCCTTACTTCGACAGCCATTCCGCCAGCAACCCAAGCAGCCCAAACAAGGCGGCAGGCCAAGAAAACCCCGCAGATCGAAACAAGGTGGCGGAATTTGGAGAGCTTGGATGCACCTCAAGGCCCGAAGTGGGGGTGCTCCGTGGACTGAGCGCTCTATGGCAGCCCTCAGCCGAGAGTTCCATGCTGCGAAAGCGGCTGGAAGTGCGGATTATGAGCAGGCCAAGAATTTGGGTGTGCTTGGACAGATGGCTCACAGGGCAGGCAAGAGAAGTTTTACACAACCTGAAGGCCGTGCCAAACGAGCGAGACAAGCCAGAGAACGAGCGGTGGAAGCTCTGGCCCGCTCAAGCCAAGCCTGTGCAGAGGCAATCGCAAACTGTTCGAATAGTCAGGAACTTGACGAGGAGCTGCAATTGCAGCTCTCAGCGATCGCTTCTGTGAGCAGGACAAGCACCAAGCAGAAAAGCATCGAGGCTGAAGCGGTCGATGCTGCAGTAGCTGCCGGTTCTGAAGCTTTGGAGCCTTATCACGCAGAGTCTGGCTTGGCTCGAGGAGATCATATTTCGCAACAGGTCGGGAAGGCTTTCGTCTTCACACCAGGGCAGCCTGCCGTTGCTGAGTTCTTCGTTCCAGCTGACAATTTTTGTCAGGAGTGGGTTGGCCAATTAGGCCCATTCAAATACTATATCATTAATAGTTAATAGTTAATAGTGATACTGGCTATATTGCACGTTGTTGTATTGAATTCTATGTTGATAAACTCTCTAGGCCCAGCTCGCTGCTCCAAGTTAGTCTTGAGACTCTAGGACTCTAGGCGACTAGGCCATTCTAGGCTAAGGCCCTGGGCCGCCCGTAGCTTCCCTAGACTCCCTAGACCGTTTAGCCGTTCAGCCCGGTTTTCAAGATGCGACACCAACTTCGACATTGTTGTCTGAGACCTAGATTGGAACATTTCGATTTACATAGGGCCAGGGTTTAATGATTTTGGACTCGTGTTATTATAGTGATGTTAGTGACTGTGGGGTTTGCGGTTTTGGAAAATTTGCACATCGATATTCTGACCACATCGATCCGTCCTTATATTGTTGTTTTAGTTAAGTTACCTCACCTGCCCGCATGATCCTATCGCTATCTGGTTCTTGATGCCTTGTGAAATACCTCAACACTTCGAGAGGTCAGTCTTAGTGCGAATCCCAATTCCTTATTTGATGTGCTAGTACTGCTAGTAGCGCTGCTAGTGACTAGTGCTACGGGTCTGATTATGGTTTTACCTGAGGAGCTGTTCAAGCCCACGTCCAAGCAGCAACAAGGACACGGCATGGGTTTGAATTCCATGCTGGATGAAAGCTGGTCCAACAGATGCACGTTGACGAAACACAGTGATGCCCCAGTCTTGGATATGACCCATGCTTTCAAGGCATCCGTGTGCTGTTCCCTGGCATTCTGCATTCATGAAGGCAAGGGCTTGCAAGCCTTCGCAATGCATACGAAGTTGTTCCAGCTGCTGCGGCCCTTTGTGCAAGCAGTGCGGCAGAAGAGACGAAAGGTCGGTGAGGCACTAGAACCATCTCAAACCAAGCGCAAGAAACCTGTGCACCCGGAAGCTAGAAAGCTTCTGGATCGGGCCATGCTCATTTTTCGGCTGCAGAATGGCGATCCTGATGTTGGAAGCTTCCGGTATGAGCAGCCACTTGAAGAAGCCGAAGCAGATTGCACTTGGGCATCGGTTGCAGACAAGATTCTGTTGGATGCAGGAGAGACAGTGCCAACAGCTTCTGAAACCCACTGGCTGCACGTCGGGTATGTCAATCATTCGACTCATGTTTTCAGTGTTACACCAATGACTTTGGTCGACTTCCAAAGCGCCGGCCATGTTGTGAAGCTGTCAGCTTTGCAGGAAGGACAGCAAGCAGAGGCCGTTGTCCAATCGCTTCGTTCCTTCGAGTTCTTCAAGGCAAACCTGGACCTGGAACAGGTTTGGAGATTGCGAGTCTTCAAGCTCCGGTCGACGAGTGAGATACTGACACAGAGTGAACTTTCACCGGCCCTTGTTCAAGCAATCCCATATGACGAGATTCCGGAGCTCATTGTTTGGCAGGGGTGGAAGGCCGAGAAAGCCAAGCCGCCGCGACAACGCAGCAACCGTCCAGGCGGCCCAGGCAGGCCTGCTCGGGCCGCTAGGCCTTCCGGGTCTGGCTCTGCGGTGCTCCCTGCCGAGCCTCCGCCGCCGGGTGCTGGTGTCTTCGAAGACCATGAGCAGGAGGAGACTGCAGATGGCGAGAATGCGGTTGCCAATGAGGTCTTGCAAGAGGCTTCCGAGCTTTTGGGTCGAGAGGAAAAGCCAGAGGGATCTTCAGATCATGACGACGACCGCCCGCTGCCGTCCGACATCAGTGTGGTCGACGAGGAGACGATTGAGGAGCATAGTCGGCATAGTCATAGTCATTATGTCATAGTCACAGTCATAGTCAGCGTAATTACACAGTGTTCTTGTCTTTTGTGAAGTATGCCGTAGGCCCTTAGGCCCTTAAGTCTTAAGCAAAAGCCGTAGCCTTAGCCCCTCGCCTTGGAGACGTCTCAGAGCCTCATGTCCTGAATTTAACTCATTACACCTTTCCCCATTAAGATGCAAGAAGATTTCGGCTGCAAAGGAAAGGCATTTCGACCTGCCAGATGAAGCCCCTCGGCTTGGCATTGCTGCTGGTGCTGCTGATGCCGGTGGGGTTGGCGAGCCCGTCCCTCGTCCTCGTGCTGAAGATGTCGCTCGTCCTCCTGTGGCTCGTGGCCCTCGTGTACATGCTTCCCCTGCAGACGTGATGTCACAGATGTCGCCCCCAGGGTGCAGAATGTATATAGACTTCAATCAGCACCGCTTTCAGGCCAAATTTGGCGCTGCTCAGAGCGATGCGTGGGAGCATGCCGGCATCTTGCGGCAAAAGCATTTTAATAGGACGTTCACTCGCGCAGATTGGCCCGACAAACTCAGTGAAGTCCACGACTGGGCTTGGCGGAAATGGGGGCTCGCACGTGCAGAGGCAGCTTTTGCTCTTGCAGAAGGCCAAGTGGCCCAGGATGGCGGCCACGTGCCGCCAGCTGTTATCGAAGCTTTGGAGCCTGTGATCCGAGACATGGGTGAAAGGAAGCAGTACAAGAGAGGCGGGTGAATGAAAATCCTGTGCACTGTCCGCAGATTTGTCATTCGATCATGCACAACTTGGTGACGTGTCGTGTTCTGGTATCTCGGCCCGGACATGCTTTCAGAACTGAACTACCTAACTAAACTTAACTAAACTAAACAAACAACTAGTAACTAGTAACTAGTAAAGTAACTAGTAGCTAGTAACTAGTAACTAGTAAACTAGTTAACTAATCATTAGTCATGAGTCACTATTCATTAGTCACCAGTCACCAGTCACTAGACAACAATTTTTCCAGCTTTAGCCCTCTTGTTTCTTGGCTGTATCCTTACTTAGTCCACTAGTCACTAGTTCATTCAGTGCAAATGCAAGTCATCAAGATGACATGTGCAGTGATTTACCTTTGCTTCATGATTGCTCGAGGTTGGGGCTCAAGAGTTTGTGGCTGTAGTTGTTGCCCCTATCCCTATCCAGCCTATCTTTCTTGTGTTGGCTGTGGCTTGCAATGTTGCCCCTGTAGGCCCTGATCGTGTCCAGTTTGTGTGGCCCGTGGCTGGGAGTCTGGTAGGGAGGGTGGCTTGGCTTGCTGTCAAGGCTGGCGGCTTAAACCCAGTTCAAATTCGGCGTCCAAATTGAAAAGGCAATTGTTAACCGCTCTAGTTTCCTAGTTGTAGTTCCAACTCAGCAGCCGAGCAGCCGCTAAGTAGCTTGCTCTTCAACTAGTGGTTAGTGGAGAATGCTGAGTCTTTGCCGACAGGCTCCGAAACATTCCCACTGCCTCAAATGCCGCGCCCAAATACAACTTGGCTCAGGGCACCCCCTGTTTGAAGAATGCGTTTGCATTTATTGCATTTAGTCAACTTAGTCATGAGTAAAGTAAAGTTTTGTCAACTCTTGCCCTATAAGGCTTGAGCCTGAATCCTTGAGTGTGGAAACAATAAACCATAAACCCACAACATTCAGAAACAGCTGCTAAAGGTCACTAAGCCCTCGTTAGGCACTAACTAGCTAACACTAACCCATTAATTCCCAAAGTCTCACACACAATTCCTGTGTTGGAGAATCCCTCCGTTGCCTCCTGTCGAGGCTCTATATCAACTTCTTCAGGAAGGACAAGTATTCTAGAGAGGAGGCTTCCTGCTTCAAAAAGATGGTGGAGGCCATTCCAGAAGCCAGAAGTCACTAAGTGTAGCCAGGAAACTTGATTTTCAGTATGTTGCATGTTCGCTTGAAAGATCACTGTGCACGGCCATTTTGCCGCATCATGACACGGCTGTTGCAGATCGGAATTTTGGGTTTCTGCTTCGCAGGCCATGCAGACGCGACAGAAGGGCTTGGAGCCCCTTGCACTGGAGCGTTTGTTGCTCGACACCGACGATCCAGTTCTCTTGGCCGATTTGCAGCGGGAGGAGGACACACCAGTTTTGGGCTGTAGGACTGTAGGAAGGGGCGTAATCTAGCTGGAGTGCAGCTGCTAGCTGCTAGCTGCTCGCTGCTCGCTGCTCGCTGCTGGTGCTGCTAGTGCTAGATCTGCTAGCTGCTAGCTGCTAGATTGAAGCAGTCATGTTGTAACCGTAACCTATTCAATTGTTGTTTTCCCAAATTCGATTTCAGCATTGCTGTCGATTGCAGTGTGTTCGGGGGTTTCAGAGAGAGAGAGAGAGAGAGAGAGAGACAAAGAGAGAGAGAGAGAGAGAAACAGAGAGAGAGAGAGAGAGAGTGTGTGTGTGTGTGTGTTGTGTTTCTGTGCGCGTGTATGTTGTGTGTGTGTGTGTGTCTGTGGGTTTGTGGATCAGTGTCTTGTTGTTCAGACTAGTGACTAGGCCAAAGCTTTGAGAGGAAATCAAAGCTCACCCCCAACGAGAGCATAAGAGCTTAAAGCCATCCCGTCACCCTCGTGCGCATGCTGTGTTGTGCGGCCCGCCCCATCGCGGTCCCAAAACGGATGCCTGAACCGTACCTAAACCTCAGACCCAAAACCTAAACCTAACCATCACGGTCCCAAAGCGGATGCCGGAACCGTACCAAACCCCAGACCCAAAACCTAAGCCGGGCCTAACCGTCGCGGTCCCAAAACGGATGCCTGGAGCTATACATAGTTCCCAGACCCAACATTGAAGCCTAAACTGGCCAAACCTTGGTATGTTATACTCGACCCTACTGAGCCCTACTGACCCTACTGGATGCATAGGCATAGACATGAGGCTCTCTCTCTCTCTCTCTCTCTCTCTCTCTCTCTCTTTCTCTCTTTCTCTTTAAATGTATATATGTACAGATATAAATATTTTGATATATAGATATATAGATATATAGACAGGGGGGTATAATATAGAGGTATACAACACAGAGATATATACAGGTATATGGATTTGTATGAGTACAGAGATACTTTCATAGATAGATATGCAAATTTATAGGTCCATATATGAAGGTATACAGATAGAATCTCAGATAGAAGTAGAAATAGGGACAGGGAGGGA